AGATTCTGAGAGTTAAAGGAAGCAACTGAAGAGTAATTTCAACTTCCCATCTTAAACAAATCAAAAAGGATAGCTCATTACACAGGATAAAAATGTTTAGATTGGGGGAAGAAGTGGAGCTTCAAGCAGTATCAAGAGGACAGGCTTTCCTATAGAAATAGGGGAGGGATTTCCTCACCTGGGTAATACAATTTTTCAGTCATCAGCATCTCTTAACAACCTACCCGAGTGTTCACTTTCCTGCAGACTTCCACTAGAGGTTTGTTCTTCACAGCTTGTTATGCTCCTGGGTAACCTGCCATCTTCAGGAAGAGTATGACTGTAGCAGCTGGCACAGGCCAATTCCCCGACAGGTGAAATGGGAGGAGATTCTCCACAAGCAGAATCTGTTTTATCTGAGTTTAAAACATCTGTGATGGGTTTAGGTATAGAAATGAAATGTTTTGCACTTAGTGAAAGAATACATTAAGACGGGCTTACTATTCACACAGGGTGAATTTGTACAGTGCTCCCTTTTAATAAAGTTAATACTCTTAATAAAGTTAAACTCTTCAAACAATGGAAACAACTGTACTGCAGTGGTTCAGACTCAGATTTCATGGGACTTCTCAAAAAGTAACTCTCAAACAAACTAAATTACTCTTAAAAAAAAAAAGTACAAACAAAAAATCCATCATACTGACAGGCTTCCTGTACAGTAAATGCACCAAAACTTTTGGCAATTTCACCAACAGTCAACTTCACTCCTTGACTAGCCAGTAAGATATCTTAATCACATTTTCATTTCCTGAGTAACTTATGGAGACTGTAATATCTCAATATAATTGATTCCACTAATTCTCTTGATAAGGTCTATTTTGATTGAGTCATTCTCACAATTATTCTTTATAATGTCTGTTTTTTTTCCCACAGTGTCTTGTTTGAAATATGGATACCCCCACCACTAAGCATCACATTTCAGAAGCAGCTGCATCATTCCCAAATTGTGGAGCAATATAAATTCTTGACTCTTGCTGAAAATTTCCCTTATTTATACAACTACAGGTCATGGTAACACGTTCTTACCACACAAACCCATTAAAAACTCAAGTTTGCTATGTACTTTGATTTTTATTTACTTTTTAAAAAACCAAAATGTGTGATACTAAATCAAGTGCCTTATGAGTGCAAATGTATTTCATTCGAACACTACCAAGTGGAACTTTATCTAATCAAGACACCAAATTGGTTTGACAAGAATTATTCTGCATAAAATGATGGTGACTGGCATTAATTACTTTTCTTTAATTAAGAAAGAGTCCCACATCAGCTGCTTCATTATTCTGCTCAAGATCAATGCTAGCCTGACAGGCTGGTAATTACTTGGGTTGTTTTGCTTATCATTTTAAAAAATCCTGGCACAACACTAGAACTTCTCAGCAGATACATGGAATTGTAGCTGTGAAGGAATTTTTGGAGGGTAGTGAGGAATAACTGTTTATATTTAGACAATATTTTGTTATCCTTCTTAGACTTATTGTTCCACGGAGAAACACAAAGCACTCTATGCACAGATACTTAGAATATGCTAGTAGCTATGTAAAGTTACACTTTTAAAGTATTTCTGTAGCCCCCTGATATTAATTCCTTAATTATAAGGTTTCACACCTTTCTGGTTCATTCTAGGTGCTCTCCAAACCTTTAAATACCCATCTATCAACTCTAATGTTTCTCTTTCAATTGATAGTTATATTTGCAGGTATCTGATTAAATCCTCAAATTAAACAGGGCATGAATAAGTACATTCCCTTTTAAAATCAAATCCAGAATACATAACCTTTACTCTTAAAAGGAACTTTTAAAACAGCCCCTGCTCATTTCAACGAGGATAAAAAAGTTAAATATTGCCAATATGGCAAATTCCACTTTCAGTAAATGTTTTGACTGTTTTTCAGTGATTTTTTCTAGACATATATACCTGACAGGATAAGATTTTTGCAACTACAGCTCACATTTTTGCTGAAATTATATATATATATATATATATACACACACACACAGAAAAAAAATGCCTCAGTAAAGGCAATCATATCAAATATCTCATGATCAATCACCTTATCCACTCTGAAGAATAGTTTTTGTTCTCCAATCTGTATTTCTCAAAACGAAAATCTATTATATATTTTACCTGCAAAAGAAGAGCTGCAGCTCCTTGGTGTGTCTACTTCTGGTATAACACTAAGTTCATGCTGTTCCAAATGAAGTAGACCTAGCTTGACTTTTGCCAGAGGTGGTTTGGAAGATCTCCATTTCTGTTCTTTACATTCAAGCTGCTCAGGTTGCTCTGTAAAATAAAAGTTTCGTGAATTAAAATTTCCCTAACACATTGCAATAACATATCCATTGAATTAATTTGAGGAGATGGAAAAACACTCAACTAAAAAAAAATTATCACAATGAAAGAAGTTACATGACTTTGCCCATGTGCCCAGCTGGACTGATGTTACTTTAAAATCAGTTCATTTTTATGAAACTCACTTGTTTCACAATCCTCTAGCTGGTGGTTTTCTGAGGTTTGCAAGAAGTCAGTCAGACTGTTAGGCTTTGCTTGTATCATTTCTTCATTTGTGCTGAACTGTTTTACCTTAAAAGAAAGCAACTGTACATAAAAGTTACACTTAACACTCATTTCTTAAATCAGCAGTCCTTTTAGGGGGGCATTCCCTGCAGTGTTGACAATACTGAGAACTTTAAGAGGTGAGTTCAGCTACTGGACAAACTTGCTCACCTTAAAAAGCATTTGGGCAAATAAGTATTTATTTTAGTTCCATGGACCCAACTGACTAGTACCTGCTTAGTTACATATTCAAGGCCATTAAAAGATTACATCAGAATAATAGGTGTTTTTAACAGGAACATTTGTTGAAAAGTCTGCTTTGTTTTCCATTATTGATAAAAGGAATTTTAGCTGCCTGAAGACTGTAAAAGCAGAAGATGTTTTGTTTGCTTGTTAAGATTGTTTCAGTTAAAAAACAGAGGAGGAAAAGGAACTTCTTTAGGAATAAGCTTGCAACTCAGAAAAAAACATGATTTCCCCCCGGCCCTTAAAATAAGCACATACAAGAAATACCTAAGATGAAATACCAAAATAAACAAAGGTATAAATTGAGAATAACTTCCAAATCAATTTTCTAGTTTGCACATCTAAAAAAGACAAAACATTTTAATAGTCCATTTAAAATGCTTAGTATATCATTTGAGATATTTAAGATTTTTAATAAGAACTGTTCTACATAAAAGTTGCACTTCTAGAGCTGTTATACTGAACAAACCAGCTCTCTGGGGTCTTACAAAAGAGAACTAGTGATTGCACATCAGAACCCCTAATTCAAATTTTCATTTTGGTACGTGACTCAAGTACTGACACTCCATGAAATACTTTACAAGTTGACAGGGTTTGATCACCTACTAGCATTTCCATTTATAAATCATATACCTGCTTGTTCAGAAATTCTTTCAAAGCCTCCTGTTGTCTCTGCATTTGTTCCTTCAACTTATCCTGCTTCCTTTTAAGTAGCTGTTCTTGTATTTTTTGTCTAAAAAGAAGAGCTTCTCTTTGTGCATCCAGCTGCTCTTGAAGTTCCTTCAAATACTTTTGCTGGGCTTGGATACTCTCTGAAGAAGCCAACACCCGGTCCCTTAAATTCAATACATTAGAATAATTTAACAAAGATGCATCTCCACTTTTTGATATCGAGAACTCATGGGCTTTAAGTTCCTCATGAGGTGAAGCCAGAGGCTGAAAGAGAGAACAGGGCTGTTCAAAGCTTGTTTTAATGCTGCTCCCTGCAGGTGCCTGCTGGCTCCTCACTCGATCACTCGAGGCTGCCTGGGCTACCCCAGCGCTCTCTGCTGCTGACAGAAGGGGCACTGCAAGTGAAGGCTCTTTTACAGCTTCTGCCTCTGTTTGATGGTTTGACATCTTCCCAGATGACAACTCCTTATCCTGCTCAAATATTCCAGAAGGTTCACAGGAATTTTCTGCAGGCAAAACAAATCTAACCTGTTGTATATGGGTTTCTGGTTGCGTCCCTACAGCAGGGTCCCCTTGCAAAGCCATGCCCAGCCCTGACAGGGTCCGAAATCGCAATGAATCTCTAATTTGAATATTGGAGGAGTCCAAGATTTCCACTTGCTCCTGCAAAGGAGAGCTAGATGGCAAGTGAAACATTCCTTGATTCCCTTCTGATGTTTCCAAAAACTGCACACGCCTACCAGGACAAACATGCATTTGCTCTTCATATTTCTGTGACGATGTTTTTTCCAGTGCCTGTGGTGTTTCTGAATTCCCAGGAAGTGACCGGCCATTCTGTTGCATACAAATTTGTTTAGACAACTCATGTTGTATGGGATGCACTTCTTGCTTCTGTAGAATGGGTTCCAAGGTCGACTTTAAACTAACTGACTTTGCTTCCGCAGAACCTGGAGGTGTTACATGAATACTTGGGTATCTTTGCTTCAGTTTATTCTGATACTCTTGCAGGCACTTTCTAGCTTCTTCAACAGTCTGTTTGTGCAGTCTAAACAAAACAAACAATACACATCCAGTATTGCAAAGATAAACTGCAGTTTCAATAATAAAACAATTTCAAAATTATTCTTAAATTGACAAATTTGGCTTTCATTTTATACTGAATTTTACCTGTTTTGCTGTAGAAGACGCTGTTGATAACTACGAATCATCTGTAAATGACTGGCTTGTCTGGGGCTTGCAGTTTTTAACACAGCAGTAATTTCAGTCTAATTAAAATTAAAAAAAAAGTTGAAATATGCAAATATTTCAGAAAAAAAACTATTAGAGCAACTTTAACCTTTAGCAGCATGTTATTCCTCCTCCTAAGCCTACAGAAGGGATTCTGTACCACTCTGAAACCCGTGGGACTTGAGCCCAAGGCAATGGAGCTAAACTAGGTCCTGGAAGAGACGGCCTGCTCGGACCGCTACAGCCGCGCACAACGGTGCTCACAGCGGCTTAGCTCGGAGCTGAACGCATCCAGCAGCAAATTAAAGAAACAATGATCCAACACAAAGATCCTGATAGACTCATCTTCATGCTTTACAGGGAGTTTAGGTTGTAGAAACAACTCAGGATTTAAAACTAAGATTACCGAATGACTCCTCTTAAAATAGTTAAAGTTCAACATACAGATAAAAAGCAGCCTTTTTTAAATAATACTTTTTCCTTGATCAAGAAGTATGAGAGTACATGCAAAGTCATCAGATTTAACCAATGTGTGCTTATATAAAAATAAGCCAGGTCTAGGACCACGCAGAGATAACACAATATCTAAAGCCCATCAATATCACATGAAAAACACCACTACTTCAGCCAAAAGGAAGCTATTGCATATAGGAGCTTTCGACCTATGGCCTGAGAATTAGAAATTAAGTCCTGAGTGTCAGAGTTCATAATTCCAAATTCACCTTCTGGATTTTTAAATAATGAATAAATAAAAGGAAAAAAACACTTAAGATACTTCATAAGATACTCAACCTCATCTTCCCCTTCTTTCTGCTGGTCTGAGAGAGGACTGTTGCTGCTTCGTACCACCTGAGCTTCCTCCTCTCTTGCTTTTTCCTTAGCCTCCTCCAAACACTGGTGCATCTGGATCCTCTGTAAATCAGCCTCCAGACATGCTCTCTTTTCTTCAATTTGTTTAAGCAAGGCCAGCTGCTCCTGTTTCTGTTGCTCTATTTGCTCATTCTATTAAACAGAAGGCAGGGTGAATCTCCAGAATTGAATGATAAAGAAAAGTTTGTCACAAATTACAATCAGATTTCTATTGTAGGAGAATTTCTATTGTATTGACTGGCTAGATATTCCTAATAGTCCACGAATGCATATTATACTACAGGTTCTCTACTGCACATTTATCTGCTATCAAATTAACAGAAAGGATAAAACCATTGGAGATTGGAGACTCATTAAAAATCTCAGAGACTGCAAAAAAGTCACCCTCTTCTGACATCTGAGTTTGAAAGTATGCTTTGCATTTTACAGTTTTTCATCAGGACCTCACAGCATTTAATTCAAGTCTCAGAGTATTTATGAAATAACCAATATGTAAGCAAACTATTTAAGAGTACTCCATAAATCTCCTAAGCAGTTTTTTTTTTTTTAATTTTCTAACTTACTCATTAGTTACAAATTACTTTTTCGTCTGGACATAGCAACAGTACTCTCCTTTTGGAAGAAACTGAGAAACAAAAATCAAACTGCTGGCAAAGAAGAACACAAAGTCAGGCTCTATTAGTGCAAGATCTCTCACATGTAGTGTTAGATTTTTTTTCCTCTACATTGTTCCAAGGACCAGCAAGAGCTAAACCATTTTTTAAAATTTTAAAAAATACAGATATCAAGCATAGAAAATGTAGTAAAAAAAAAATATGTAAAAGTTACAAAAGTATTAAAAGGAACTACAGCTGTTTTATTACGTCGAGCATTTTAATCAGTCTTCTGTAAAACACTCATAACTAAGACACAGGAGAAAAAAAAAGATAATTATACATACTTACCCACTTATTTCTTTCCTCTTCCATTCTATTTTTAGCTGCTTCTTCTTGAGGATGAATTAGAACTGAATTTTCAGCTATAACTGCATCTTCCAAAATTTCCACGGAGTCTAAAAACACACAAGTTACTTAGGCATAAATGCAGTCAGAAAGGACAATATTGGTAACACAGATTTGAAAGCACAGGACTACTTTAGCTTGGCAACAACTTCCGTTACTGAATTCATAAAGCACTAGATAAAAAACAGGCTAATTTCCAGAATATTTCCAATTGCTGCAGAGAAGGCAGCAGTGGTTACTTCTGAAAGAGCCAGACCTTGAATCTTTCTCACATATTTCTTTACATTGTTGTAACCCCTGTAAACAAAATGCATTAGCAGCTTTCAAAGAGATTTCCATCTACATCTTCCTCTGCTTGTCTCGGTGAGCTGGAGAATCAGATTTTTTGATTATTTAAGCACTTGCTAGCCCTTTACCAAGTGCTTTGGATATATGAGATGACTCATTCCAAAAGGATTTCTTTTGCCCAGATTATTTGGTAGGTTACTAGCAAGAGCATTCTGACGAACGATCTTACTAATGATCTGATTAATGATCAGGGAAACAACTTTACTTCTTGGAAAAACATGGCCTAAAGGATCGTACTCCTAGAGGGTATAACATCTGTTTATTGCAGGAAAAGCAATTGTTCATCACATACTGCCAGCTTTAATATCAGCACATCTTCTCTACTGGCAAAGTGGAGCTAAATGCCTTTTTTTCCCCACCCATGCTGCACCACAACACTCACAAATTAGGCAGGTGTGTCCATGTGCACATGACAAGTAAATCACTGGATCTGACTAAAAAAAAAATCAAGGATTTCAGACACTTCTGGAATCTGGCTTCTCCAGGTCATTTGGTATAGAGCCTTAAGGCCAAATCTTGCACTGGGAACTCCACTCTTGAAGGTAAACATCTATTAATGCATGGCAAGACCATATGTAACAAAAATTTTCACAAAATTTACAAAATGCAAAGGTATTTTGGAGATTTCTTTTTGGAGTAGAGGTTTATTGGCAAGAAAAAAAAAAAGCAAAAACCTCTCCAGTTTACTCTTTAAACAAAACACAATATATAGGGGGTAGAGAGAGAACTTAGCTGCTTTCTGGCAACACAGTGAAACAACATTAAAGTATTCATTACTTTGCTATGCTGTATAAATCTTTTCATTCCCTGCCCCCGCCCCAAAAAAAGACAAATGGCAGGTATTACATACCTTTGTTTGCAGATGTTGAATTTTTATGTTGTTCGTGGTTAAGTTCTTTATCACATAATTGTCTCTCTTCACCAGCAGTTGTGCCCGATTCAATAGTCTCAATTTCATTTTGACATTCTCTCTCAGATTTTGATGTCCACTCCTCTCTTTGGGTTCTAATTTTGTTCAACAACTTCTTTAAGGCAAGTTTTGATTCAGTTTTGTGAGTTTTTCCTTCTTCATTACCTATGAGAAATACACACCTTTTAAAAGCTTTAGGTAGCTGTTCATCCTCCTGCTATAAAACCTCAAAAAATATCCACACATTCATTAATTCCTTTTGTTGTTCATACAGATGAACAAACAACTCAGGCAAAATAACAAGTTCTCAAAGCTTATCAAGTTATTTCTCTTACCTGGAAGAGATGAGCAGTAAATTGACTCAGAACATAATAAAAGGAGGACTAAACTAAACCATGTTTTACAGTCAAGCTAAACTTAGTCTGTACTGTTGGAGAGAGGCAGCACTTTGTCCCCTTTGTCTCTATGTTCCTGTGCTCTCTATTGCATTAGCATGAGCAACATGATCCATCACATAGGCCAAAAAACGGATATACCACCAAACAGATGTGGTTGAAATGCTCTAAGGAGAGAAGTTCAGTAACCCCACCCTCGTTCACACTCTGTTACCCTGGGCATGCCACAAGCAAACAGGGCACACACGTGCATTATTGCTGCTTACTCGCAAAGTGAGACAACTCCGTCACGAACCTGAACATGAAGGGCAGACAGTAAGCAACCTTCAAACAAGCTCAAGCTTCAGCTTTGAAATATTTCAAAAGAAAAAGAAATTACTTAAGTTTATATCCTAGCTTCATTCCCCATAATTTCCACTAACTACATAAGGAGCCAACATAACTACTAAAAGTTTAGTTTTACAAAAATTAAGTTATTCTAAGCATAACAGACATATTAAAAAGTCACATTTGAATTTTTAATCCGTACTTGTTAAACATATCATCCTGATAAACCTCATAAACCATTTGATACTGAAATATTTCATAGTCAGTGCAGCATTTAATAGTTCAACATTTTAATTAATATTGAAATTAATCTAAGTGATATATTATACTAAATTGTTGTTTCTCTTAAAAATTAAAAAAGTTTAAAGTTTAAAAGCTTTACTTTCTGTTTCATCAGGAACTTCCTCTATCGTCTGTCTCAATTCTTGTCCAGTGTCACAAGCAGATTCATGCTCCAAAGTGATATCAAGTTCATTGTCTTGAGATCTTTCAGAAGGGGATGGTAATGGCTGTGGCTCAAAGTGCAAAATCAGGTCTCCCTGAATCTCTAATTAAGGGAAAACAACCATATAAAATGATCTTTGAAATAAACATTGCAAGACTACACTTACTATGCAAATTCTTAAGGGGTCCAAACATCTACAGTTATTTCTTAACAGATTTAATCCTTTTTTCCTCTCCCCAAAAATACAAGACTTGCAAAGTTCAGACCGTTCAGTTCTTTAGCTATTTCTTGAATCTGGGATTCTATTTTTTTTTCCACTAGCAGATACCAAATTCCTCCAAACAAAAGATTCTGTGGTGAAAGCCTTCTCTCCACCTGCACAAATGGTGCAGGAACAACAACAAGCAGGACAACCCAAAAAACCTAATCAGGCAAATACACTATCCTGACCCAGCTGCTCCCAGAACTCTAACTGAAGTCAGCTCCATCATGTAGGTTTTAAACCCACCAATTCATCTTTAGAGCCACTGTCCCAGGTGAAGACCATTAGTGTGTGTGTGAGGAGGTTCAACCATCAACAACTGCTGTGGGGACCACAAAGCATAGGTTTGCTGCGTGCCTAGGTGCCAGCAACATGGACACCAAGGATCCAGGCACCAGCAACCAGGACACCAAGGGTCTAGGCCCAGCTGCTGGGTGGTCAGAGTGACTAAGGACAATTACTGGGGGAATCCATTTGTACATTTGCAGGTGACAGTGCATATGTGGGCATATATGTGGAAAGCCGAGGGGTCCTGGGCTAGTTGCTGAAAGAGATGAGTATTTAAGGCCAGTCATTAAGATGCCCTCCGGTGTTTGCATTGCTGGTCCATGCAGCCGGCCGCACGCATATGTCCTTGTACTGCATACGCATCTTCCTACGCGTGTCTATCGGGCAGCCTTGCTCCTGGCTGGGCCTGGGCAACAGGGATCTGCAACAGTCTCACCTCAATTAGGATACTGGGATCAGCAGCCCCTAAATAACTTACTCCTGTCTTCACTGTACATGTCTTCAAACGCAAACTCCAGTTCCCTCTGCCAGTCTTCTTTTATCTCCAGTCGCTTGTACGCGGGTACAAACAGCTGAGGTGGCATCTGTGCTACAAGCTGCCTCCTGCGCAGCCGGTCCATACTCTGCATTTGTTCCAGTTCTTTCAGCAACCTCTCCCTGTCCTTCAAGGAAAAAGGTGATCTCCTAAGAATTTAGCATTCACATTCAGACAGCAGCACATTAAACTGATAAAATATTTCCTTTTGGTTACCTTAAATTTAAACATGAAGAATTAAACTTTAAGGTCATTCTGACCAAAGGTGTGATTTAAACGCTGTACTTAATTAGCACGAGAATCAATGTTGCCTGAAAGATCCAGCGTTAAACACAGAATCAGTAGCAGTTAGGTTTCTTTCGTTAGCGTGTACTTCAGCCTTTTTTTTTTAAATTAAAAAAGGGAGCTAATATTCTTCAGGGACTCATTTCTCAAAGAAATGGGAAACTGCTGCCATTTATAGCTTCCTGAATATATTTGTAAATGTAAAAGTGGAAAAAAAATTCAGAGTGTTCCTCTGGGTACACAATCTACTCTCCAAAGTAAATCTAATATTTTCACTCTTTTGAACCAACAGAACCTGCATATTTGAAGAACTTAAAAATATTTTGCTAAATAAGTTGCATTCTTAGAAAAAAATAAACCCAGTTTTTCCCCTAAAGCATAGAAAACTACAAAAACAAATGTGGAAAAGCAGAGTTCACCACCCATTAATGAATTTGATCCTACACATAGCCAGTTCAATAATATTAGGTCATAAACTAAAAAAAGTTGAAGCTCAATAGCCTTAATATTTGTGCTTTCCTTGTCTCTGGGCAAGACGATTACCCATTTCCTTCTCACAGAAGTGCTGTGAATATAACTTCCAATTGAATCTTTGGAAAACTCAGATCACAGAATGCTTAAGGTTGGAAGGGACCTCTAGAGGTCATCTAGTCCAACCCCCCTGCACATGCAGGGTCACCTAGAGCACATGGCACAGGGTGGCATCCAGGCGGGTTTGGAAGATCTCCAGAGAAGGAGACTCCACAACCTCTCTGGGCACATCTCACTGTTAAGATTAGATCACCTAATCCAAGCCCTCCTACTCAAGCAGAGACAAGATTTTTTCAAAAGCACAAGGGAATAGTCACAAGGAAACGGAGATGACTATATTCATTATAAGGTTTGGCCACAGTGTGTTAAATTAGTAAATGAAAGAACAGGATAATGCAGTATTGAACAGCTACCTTCACTTTATAAATCTAATGAAATACAGAGTTAATGTCAAGAACAGATACGGAGCATAACTGCTAAGACACCCAGTCTCGGTCCACGCCAGCAAGCTCAGTTCTGAAAGAGCTACATTCACACTGGCTCATACCAGTGCCAATTCAACCACCTTTGCCTCTTGGATAATCACCAATTTCTTTCTTTCGTACAGTATCTCTCTACTGCACCTTCTTATGTTCTTTATACACTTTGCATGTTTTTGCTTTACTTGGATTTTTTTTTTTTGCTTTCAGATGTACACGAGTGACAGGCATAAATTAAATCAGAAATATAAAGTATACTACACACACACAAACTGAAGAAAAATACAGAAAAGGGAATTAGAATAATCAAAGCTAGGGAGCAGCTTCTCTGCAAAGATCTGCTGAGTAGTTTAGGATTTCTCAGACTAGAAGGAAAAATGAAACAGAAGGAACCTATTTAACCTTCAGGGACGCTGTGAAGGCAAGTAGGGAATTCACTGCCTTTAGAGATGAGTAGGGAAAACAGATGAGCCTAATAAGCAGCAGGAACACAGCAACACACCCAGCTACAGATGCTCAAACTTTAGTTGCCCTTCGAACCCACAGTCACCAATACAGAAGGGAAGTTCCATCAAGTTCAAAGATTCAGGAAGCTCCTAAGCTACAAATACTGCGGGCAAGGAGGCTGAACATTAACTTTCTCTTACAGGTTTTAGGCATCTTCCATTAGTCACTGTCTCCACTGGATTCCATACTGAGGACAAGGTGACACAGGCAGAAAGGAGATCACAGAACTTGGGGAAAACCAAAGGATTAAAGGGTGATAACAGCTGAACAGAACAGTAAGAATAATCATCAAAAGTCAAATTTAAAATTAAGGGTGGCTACAGCAAGCAATTCCCAATGCACTGTAAGACATGCACAACAGTGGCCTGTGTTCAGGCTACTGCAGCTGACTGGATGGTCTACCTCAAGCCAGAGAACCTCCAAACCAAGCTCTGCTCCCACAGTTGATGCTACAGCCAGCCAGCCCCAGCAAGGCCAGGTGGATAGTTCAGAAAGTTTTACAATTTTACAAGGGTTCAGAAAAAGTGTATAAGGAGATGAAAAAATGCAGCTCAAGAATCCAGGAGGCAGCTCTGGAAGAAGGGTACATATGTAAAGGTCATTATACTTGAAAATTATCATACAGTTCGTTCTTCCTCAGTCTCATCTAGTGATAAGAAAAATAACTCCAAGAACAGTAATGAAGACTCTACAATGCTTGCTAATATGATCTATGTACTCTTCAACCATTAATTATTTAAACACTTTAAGCAGTTATTTCATAAGACAGGACTTCAAGCTCAAGAACTCCTTCACATTAAAGAAAAAAATGTCAAAACAAGTCCTGGAATAGACTAGAATCTCCATTTTTTTAAGTATTTTTTCATTTAAAGGCAAAACCACTTTCTACATCACCATGCATTTAAAGCAAAGCAAACAAAAAACCCACTTTTACTTTTCTGTGAAGCAACATAGTAAATCCCTTGACACCTAACAGAAAAAAAAAATCTATACTTATTTCACACATTTAAAGTCACAGCAATACTAGTTTCTGTAAAAGTTGTGGCACTGCATAATAAAGCCAAATTACCTGCAACATCTAGTTCGCTTCCAAATGGATTTCCAATTTATCTTTGTCAAAAAAACTCCAACCTTATAAGGCTTCAGACAGCCAAAATAAGCAAGCTGGGTTTGCTGGGGTTTTGAAAACAGCAGTTAGTCCTTCAATTTTCCTCCTAATTCATTCATGCTGGTAATTGCAAACAGGCACAATTTCTGCTTTGCTTACCTGAGCCAAACGGACCTTCTTCAAGGCATAACTTCCTCTAAGATGGGCCTTTTCCAGCTGCTCTCTTCTATCTCTCTCCTCCTCTCTATGTAGCTCTTCCAAACGCTTTCCTTCCTCTTCGGCAACTAACCGAGCGTCTGTCTGGCAGGGAATCAGTAACAGTTTAGTCTGCAAAGTTTTTTAGGGCAGTTTAAAGCATATGTGGCAATAAATGAATAAGACTGTAGCAAAAATACACAATTCTGGATGAATTCCCTCTAGAGTTTATAGTTCTGTTAAAAGCAGCATCAAACTGGCTTTATACCTTTGGAAAAAAAAAATATATATATAGTTACAGATTGTACCTCAGTATCATTCTTCTGTGCCAATTTTTAAGCTCTGGAGTTTCAAACTTAGTTCTGGAAAAAGAAAACTTTTCTATAATCCTTTAATATAGCAAAGGTTTATTTTTCCTTCAATATAATGTAAAATGAATAATAAAAGCAATTTATTATATCTTAGTGGATATTATAATATATATTATATATAATATACATTAATATATAAGATATATATCTTATCTTTATATCTTTAAGTAAAAAAAAAAGTTTTAATTTCAAAAAATAAGGCAACCACCACTGTTTAGCATAAGCAAAAAATGAGCAATTCAGATGCCCTACCCTTATGTCAGCCATGTGAACTCACACCCTTAAAAAGGGTACCTGTGTGGGAAAGGCTGTCACGTCTGATCCTGCATGTAATCGAACACTTAATAGGCCTTACAATTTCCCACCATCGACTAATTGTACAATAGCTGCTTTATACAAGCCTAATTTTAAAACAAGTTCTGAGAAACTAAATTGTTGATATCAGTAATCCAGACACCGTGTTCAATATAAAAAAGACATAATATACAATCACAAAAGCACTTGGGAGTTAATCACCTGTTCTCTGTCCATTTCTCTGTCCACATAAGGTTCTGAAAGATGATAATGAGTAACATGAAAGTTGTCAGCATTATAGATCTTCACTGTAGGAATCCTTTTCACTTCAAAATTCTAGAAAGAGAAGTACAATAGATTTCTATCTGCATGGATAACAGTCTCTTGCAAAGCAGCTAAATGGAACATAAGTGATATGCAAACTCAAATTGCTACTAAAAGCCAACACCAAAAGCTTATAAGCAGAAAATTCTCTCCTGTAAATGTCACATTTTAAAACTTCATATATCTATGTTATTAATAAATGACATCAACATAAGCCTATCTGGAGCACTAAATGACTGGGAGCATCTACCAGCCCAAGGCAAACTTCTCTGTACAAACAGACATTCCTCTTTATGCTTCAACGGTATCATTCAAAGATACTTGAGTTTTAATGGGTTAAGACAAGTTACATTTACAACAATAGCTGTTATGCTCACCTGAAAGCAGGGCAACCACAAATTCACAATGTAATAGCAGTAATAGCAAAAATAACGTTTCTCAGGCTTGGTTTGCCCATATAGAACCTGTTCTTGTGCCCTATTTATTAGGGCTACCCAGAAAAGTTTTCCATAATTTCACTAAAAAAAAAAAAATCTATACATACAGTACAGTGTGTTTGTTTTTGGAACAGTTTTGAGCACACTCCCAAATACTGATCCTTCAGCAGTTATACACCTTCTTTGGCTCAGTCTGACATTCTTAATAGTTCAAGTAACCAGGTAAGATAGCTCAGTATTCTGTACGAGTTGCCTTTGAACTTCTAATTCACACTTCTCCTCTGATAATTCTCTCTCAGATTCCTCTCCTCTAGATCTTCCCCTAAAGAATCAATCCTAACACACATTAATTAAAATGGAGTTTCACAGCCTGAGTAATTTATCATGCTTGTAAACAAACGCCCACACACAAAAAGTAGAAATAAGTCTTAAGAATATTTTAAACTTCAGATCCGCCTTCAGATATAATATGTCATATAAAACTGACATCAGGATAGATTAGCTCTTGTTATTTTAAAGACTGTATAGGGAACTTTTAAATTAAAATTCTATATCAAACTAATTTCAGCATTACCAAAGGAACTTTGGTAATTTATTTTACAGTTTTAAAGCAAACGTATGCTATTCTAGTGAAGGGAGGAGGAATAAAAATGCATGGATAAGAGCATTCTACTGAGTATTTCGCTTTTATTTGTACATTATAATGCTGTTTGAGAATTGCTAATTATCTTAGACAATAAGTCATGGTAATTGTAACTAGTAATTGTAGAAAGACAATAACTAGAACACTTGTAGGCACTAATTATAGTTCTGAAAACAAACATATAATTAGCTTGATTACCTGTTGCTTAGTCTATTCTGTGTTAGTTTCAGAATCTGCAGCTAGAAACAGGCTAAGTTTAACATTAGTTTAACATTAACAAAACAGTAATTAATGATAATGAACGCAACTCAAAATCTTGTGAAAACGTGAAAGTTGGTCTTGCTCTCGTGAGCAAGACTCCTAAAGAAGAAAATTCTTTGTTTGTAAATGGAGAGATATATTTCTGAGATTGTTAGATGAAAAGTCTTACATAACAACTATGAATAGTACTGTATCACCTACAAATTTGCACACTAAATGCAGCTGACACTTTGCCACCAACAGGAAATGTATTTCTTTAAAAAGAAAACATACACATGCTAAACTGCAAGTGTTACAGGAAAACAATTCTACTATCTATTGCATGCTCTTCCAGAAACATCAAATTGAACAATACTCAAGGATCTGGAATTCACCAAATGAAGAGGGAAAAAAAAAAATACAGCAGAATTAAATCTGTTTCTTATCTACTTTCCTCCTCAATAGCCACAAATACCAGTTTCCTAGAAAAAAGAATTTAAAAGCAGACAAAAAGCTAAAACTGTAGGAATGTTTTGTTACAGAACTCAACCAAAACACTACTATATCAGCATGACAGAAGGCTGGGGTGGGATGTTCATGCTGGGAAAGATAATTGTAAAGTTAATACTATTAAAGCTGTTAGATGAAAATGAGATCACAATAAGGTTTAAAGAACACATTAATCACAGCTGCCTATCAGCAATAAAATCCACACATAAGAAAACGGAAGAAGAAAAATTAAAGCCTAGTAAAAAGATGGCAGCTAATGGATAGTTCTTTCACTGCATTGGTATTGTATCCCAAAACTATGGCTGCAATCATGTCATCAATACAGACCTCAAGAGGATGTGGTGGAGGAGGTGGTAGACTGGCAACTCTGGCAGCTCTTTCTTTTTCCACATCCAGAGCATGTTTTCGTGCATTGATTCGTCTTGAGAGAGAAGGGGAAAACATAAATGGGGAAGAAGGAGAAAGTTATTCAAGCAATAATGACAGCACTGTGTACAATAAAATGCAAACTTAAAAATCTATTTAGGAACTTCTGAATCTATTTAACTCTTGGGAGATAGGAACGGGCAAGCATACTGAAAACCTAACAGAACTGAGGATGGAAGGTAGCACGATTAGTTTTTTGGAGTGAAACAAAAACCATTAAGAAAACATCTGCATAACACACAAGCTCTTCAAGAAGAGAGTAAAATCCC